CATTAAATTTGCTGTTGCAGCTGTATGGTTGATCTGATTGTTACGTTTGATCTGATAAAAACAAAAAAAGGCCAGACCACTGGGTTTATTTCAAAATGAAAGCAGGGATTGGAATTGGTGTAAAAACCTACAGTTTGAATTCATTTGTAAACACACTAATCCCTGTATTATACTTTTTTTTCTTATTTAAAGACTCCCTTCATTAAAAATCTAGTGTTTTACCCTCTTAACATGTCCATATGGTGTTTTTTTTTAAATTTTTTATAAGCGAGAAGACATATAATGACCAAAATAAGCACTGTCACCTTCAAACTGTGGTGTACCAATGACAGTCTCAAAAACACAGATTCAGACATCTGTGGTTTCATACATATTCATACATAACAAGCCCACAAAGGGTTGGACTTACTGTGTTATTCTTCTTGGATTCTAGTTTAAATATGTGTGGCTAGATTACTCCAATATTTGGGCACGGACTTCACAGAGCAACACGTTCTAAAGGAAGCAACGCTGTCGTGTCACATCGAAGCCACTTTAAGGCAATGACATGGGAAAAAAACTAAATATGCAATATCGATACAGAGAGATAAGTTATTCTGGGTTTTAATAAATGATGAGATTTTAACCCATGCCTACGCCTACTTTCTTAAACCCACAAACTTAGTTAAGCTGTGTTTTAAAATGTGTTCAAGACTTATTGCTTATTCTTGGTTTTCAGTGATTTTACACAAACCTATGCTCAGATATTATATTGTGATCATTTAAAACTGAGTCATATGTCTCCCAACTAAGAACTTTATGTTGTGCTGCATGAAGACATCCTGCTGCAAAGTAACCACATAAATATTAGCATTCACTATTTGAGCTCTAAAATATTTATATACTTTTCAGTCATTTTTTTAATTGACTGTGCAAGACATCAACAAATCCCTACATATTTCCAAAATAAAAACATCCATCCATCCATCCATTAGCTATACACCGCTTAATCCTCACTAGGGTCATGGGGGGCTGGAGTCTATCCCAGCTGACTTAGGGTGAAGGCAGGAGACACCCTGGACAGGTCACCAGTCTATCACAGGGCTACACTTAGAGACAGACAACCAAGCACACTCACATTCACACCTACGGACAATTTAGAATCACCAATTAACCTCAACATGTTTTTGGACTTGTGGGAGGAAGCCGGAGAACCCAGAGAGAACCCACGCTGCACGGGGAGAACATGCAAACTCCACGCAGAGAGATTCCGGTGCCCCCACCGGGACGCGAACCGGCAACGTTCTTGCTGCGAGGCAACAGTGCTACCAACTGCGCCACCCTGCAGCCCAAAATAAAAACATACATAACAGAATTGTCACTAAAGAGTACGTCTAAGTATAATTCAAATAGTGTTTGAGTTGAACTTAGAGGGCCAGCATGTCCGATTTAAGTGGATTGATAATGTAAAAATGCAACATAGCATTGATTATCAGGTTTACATTTGCGTATAATCACTTGTAACTACGAACCATTGGGTTCTCATTAGCTTAGCATAAACCCTTTAAGGTCTCCTTCTGCGGTGTCCATCATGTTGCTGTTTCTACAGTAGCCACAGAACTGACTTATTTTTATATTCAAGTGGCACCACTGTAGATTCTCCCAGACATCTGGAACATCTGCACATTTGCATTCATGCTCCCAAGAATATATAAAGAGCGTTTATGCTCGAAAAGCCTCCGTGAGGTGGTAATTTAATGACAGCTTTTGGGAACGTTAATGCCAGTGTGCAGATCCTATTTTAACAGATGACGATACATTATATGATAAATAGCAAAAAAAAGACAGAGTTGATTGCAATCTCTCAACCTCACCGCTAGATGCCACAAAATCCTTCACGCGGTCCTTTAAGTCGAAACTCAAACACACACCAATATCCCGTCTGCGCTCGTCTTTGGTCCCCCAGCTGTCTGGCCGGCCCACAGAAGCAATACAGTGACAGAGAGAGAGAGTAAATGGAAATGAAAGGTGTCTGTCGTGTATGCGGTGCGTCCCCACGGAGCTATCATTAATTAAGCGTGAGATTGGTTCTCTCCACTTCCCACCCCCGTCTCTCATTCTGTTGATCCTGAGATGTCAAGGGATTCACCACTTCCCACCTCGGAAAAAAAGAAACAGGTAGCGTGTCTGGGAAGTGGACCAAAAATAGAAGACACGGAAACACACACACACAGGTTTCCGTCTACACACCGCTAAAACAGCTGCACACACGCTCCAGTCCGGCGCCGTGTCAGATGCCTATTGGTCTCTTTCAGCACCGCAGTACATCACTAATGATAGCTCAACTCCCTCAACTCCCCTATACTACCCAGAGGGGTGGAGAAATCTGCCAGACTGGTGCAGGTCCTCTCTTTACCTCTCACACCACAGTATTTGACAGCACACTGGGGAACTGTAAAATTAAAGGCCTCGGCAAATGAAATTCTGTGACATGGCAGCGTGAATCAAAGCGGCGCCCTGCCACGGGAGCTCGCCGAGGAAGAATGAGGAAGGCGTGCTCTCAGAAGGAACACAAAAATAAAAGTTGGCGAGGGCAAAGCCGAAATGTTTGTTGTTAAGTTATCCAAAGTGCATCATCTGGCATCTAACAGCTGAATCCTGGGTATTGACAAAAGTGGTATCGCTTCATCATTTCACCTTGAAAAGGAGAGTGCTTCGTATAAAAGCTTTTTCATAGCGCAGAGAACTTTATTGACTTCCTTTGATATTAATAGCCTGTGACACAAAATGCCATTTTCCCAGCGATGCCACGTTTTTTCCTATCTGATATGACCTTGTTGATGGTGCCAGAGACGGTGCTGTAATGTATCTCAGCTCAGTCATCATCGCTGCAGATTAGTGATGCCACATAGAGAGAATGGATATGGACCGCTCTGCTGTTGTTCCAGGACCCTCGAACCTCCCGTACGAAGGCTTGACTTCCTCACTCTTTCCTGTCAGCTCTGTCCAAATCACGGGGTATTTAGTGGCTTTCTGACGGCCCTCTCACTCTGGCCTCCTCCACACTTGCACTGATACAGATACACAAGTGTCAGCGCTGACATGAAGGGTCATCATCACTGCACGCCAGGCAATCTGTTGTTGATGTGGAGAGGCTGATAACAGTGGTCCCTGTCTGTCGTCCACCAAACAACCTCTCCCCCGAGCGTGTCTCACCTCTGAGGGAGAGTGATTGCTTTAATATGGACAACGAATGGTTCAATTTGTCCTCTGGGTGTCAAAAGACTGCTTGGCGTGATTACTTTCTTGGCACAGTGGTGACGTTCATTGGCTTGGACTCAGGACATATTGGAGAAAGGCCTCTCTTAGGCCGGAATAGGGGTGAGTGACAGATAAAGACGGACAGAGACGGGACAAAAAAAAAAAAAAAGAAGAAGCGAGGATCGTAGAGAAAGGGAGCAGTGGCAAGGCCGGCTTTGCACACCTCAATGAACAGCAGCACTTCAATCCTCCATAGAATGAGAAATACAGTATCCTGACCTTGACAGATCAAGCAGAGGGGGAAAAAAAAGCAGCACGACCACAATCCGCCCACGCACCGTCACAAAAAAACACAAAAAAACACATAAAAGTAGTAGAGAAGGGACAAGGGTGCTTGTTTTTTGACATTTCACTTTGTCACATTTCTAAACCTGATTACTAAGAAAACACAACATTTACCCCACAGACAGGGGCAGAAAATCGATGTCCGAAACATCCAAATCTACTAAAAGGAAATATGCAGTTGAACGCACAATTACACAGTGTATTTATGGGGTTTGACATTTTGGGCACTGTGTTTTTTTATCTCTCACTTTCTTGCTGAGAATTAATATCAAGGCCACTGTCATGAATGTATGTACGCATGAAGTCAGGAGGCCAGAAGACTAGACACAGGAAAAATAGGAAGCTTGACTCGGTCACACAATCTGAGGATATGTGGATATTGCGCATATAATGTGTATTTTATAGTAAAATCTTGTGATTTCAAACACAGATACTGTAAAATACCCCCGTAATTCAAACAGTTTTTATGGTCCCAGTGGTATCAATAAACTTGAAATAACTTTGTTTGTTCAAACTTCAATAACTTAATTAATTAGCTGAATTATTTAAATACATTTGCAACTCCATTACAACTTTGAATTCACAAAAGTTTACCATGTTGAGATGGTTCATAGATGCCAGAATCTAATTTAAAAGCGTCAACAATGTATGAACAATGTTTATATAATAAAAATTGGTTAACCTATCTAACAGAGCCAGAAGAATCCGAAAATATGACGTCGGCCATCTTGAAAAATGGCCGCCATTTTGAATGTTCATGTTTTAGTTTTTTTTTTACCAAATAGGTGGCATATGAGGAATGTGCATGCCAAATTTTATGACAATTTCAACATTTTTTTTGTAGATATCTGCCCCACTATGAGACAGAAGACACACAGGCACTTAACTCTAACACTAATGATGCAGACGAATAGCAGTACGTGAGCATTTGTAGTACTTGCTTATACAGTAGTAAAATCTGTTTAGGAACCAACCAGCACAACCAAGAAGAAACTTCTCTACTGATTCCTTTAGGATCATTCTAAATTGGAACCGGTTTGCAGGTTTGTGCAGGCTTCTGTGCCGTACTATTTTGTTGTCTTAGTGCACCGGCTTTCTGGAGAAATGCTTCCTATGAGACAAATGTAACACATCAGTATGCACTCAAATTACCTATAAACTAGGTTTGCACAGAGAGGTGTGTAATCACATGGGTTTACACTCAAAATGTTACCATCTGTGCTGCAGTTCTCGAATATCTTGAGGGCATTCAGGGAATTCTTCCATCTTTCTTTTTCAAATCATTGGAATGCATACAGATAAAAAAAATAAAATAAATTCTGCTGAAAACTGCCAACTGAATTACATCATACAGTGACTCACCACAGACACATCCGCAAGCATAAACATCTCTCTTTGTCTCCCGTCAGCCTCACCTGAATAGTGGGTGGCGAGCGCTGTTTGCGGGTGGTCGTGGTGGACAGGGTGGTGGTGGTCTCGATGAAGGTGGTGGACATCTCCGGCGGCACGGAGGTGGTGGTGCGCGCCGCGCCCCGGCTGACGGGCACGTCGCCCACCAGCCGCACGCTGCCGTTCACCTTGATGTTGGCGTGGCCCTCGGCGGCCATGTTGAGGACTTTGAGGCCATTGTAATAGAGGCCGGAGAGCTGACCCTGGTAGGGCCGCTTCCGGTCGTTGCCGCCGATTGAGATAGTGGCCTGGGTGTTGAAGATTGTCAGCTGCCGGCCTGGCGCGGGAGGGAGGGAGGGAGGGGGAGAGGGTTGATATGCTTAAGATGCAACGTGGAGTAATAATGTGATGTAACAGGCAGATAAAGCTGTCACAGAAAGCATTCTGACATGCAGCAGCTTTAGGATGAACTACGCTTCCACTGCAAGATAGTGATTGGAAACTCAAATGTAGCTGATAATACAAACACATTACTTTACTGCTTGACTCAATGAGGTTGTGGATGATGATACAACATGCATTTACACCGACAAAAAAAATAGCAGTATAAGACTGCAGTTATATGCACCGCAATGCACAGTAGGTTGTTTTTTTTCCCCTTTTGCTACTAAAGATGAAAACCGACACTATGCAGGTACAGCAGAAATATTGCACTGGAGCAAACGCATGCAGATGTGACAGAAATATATGAAAAATAAGCTGGAACATGTTCCACAGGTCCTCTTAATATTCTCTGGACAAAACAGCGGACCTGTGAGGTAAAATGATTAATAAATATGTATACAGGCTTGGGAGTATTCTGATGAGAGTATGGGCAACACACACTAACTGCAATTCATGTGAATTTCATTATGGGATGCCAAAATATCATTGTCAAAACACGTTGCTCATGCATTAATTATGAAAGAGAAAATGCACCAAACTTTCACAATACAGGGATCATAATTAAAAATCTCATTTGTATAATTTGCAGACACATAGCACTGCGAGCTCGTTACATTTGTTTGTTGTACGATACATAATACATTAGGTATGGAATGACAGGGACAAGACGTTCATATCACAGAAAATGAAATAGCATGTGTGGAGTCATGCATGCAGCAGTAATGGGATTTTTCAAACCTGTCTGTGTTTTAGCGGTTGTTAAAGGGACTTTATAATCAGGTTAAGATGTTTATGTGCAATGAATTTAAAATGCAGTTTATGATAGTATTATGTCGAGTAAGAACATGTATTATGCACCAAAAAAAGAAAGGGGACTTTTTTTTTTTCTCATCCCCAAAAATGCTTCAAACATAGACAAGGTGCTGATTTGATCATCTAAATGATTGAAAAGTACAACTCTGTCAGGGCACAGTGCACCTTGGCAGGCGCGCCGTGACGCTTTGCCGTCAAAAAGGCTCCAATTAGCTCTCCATCACCAAACAAGTGAGGATTTTATCCTGTGTGATGTGTGTAACTACAATCAGATAAATTACAGCAGGGAGAAGCACCTGCTGTCTGGAAAGTTTTCAGGGCGATATGCCCGCTGATTAGTTTGTTCTCAAACATTGCAGAGCATTTGAGCCAAGGGAGTTAATTCTCCTCTCAAAACAATCGGCCGACTGTTGCAGCATAGATAATGCCTTCTCCGAGTCAATTTTGCACAAAAGATTAGGAGCATTTCATAATTAACATCTTGTTGTTACACTGTTTACAAAATCTCTTCCCAGTCCCTTTAACTGGACACCATGAGTCAACAAAATTTTAAAAAGATGACCATGACAACAAAAAAAAAAAAAAAAGGAAAAAGAAACACAAAAGATAATAAAAAAAAATCCAAACAAAAGGAGAGAACAACATAAAAAACCAAAAAACGCTTTGTTTTTACTTGTTTTTTAAAGGGTTTAAGGGATGGTTATTCATTCTCAAAGGTTGAAAGGGAACAAGCCGATGGAATGACAGAAAGTAAAAATAAAAGAAAAAACATTCTAGAAGTTCGATAAAGATTTACCTTTCTCCTGAAGCCAATCTTCTACTGGCCGGGTATATTTGAACGGGATTTTCTTATTTGCCATTTGATAGCGCTCAATGTCGCTGTTGCCTTTAAAGTTTAAAAGTTTGACAAACAGCTTGAAACAGTTGGCAACAGACATCACACATTTATACAGTGGTTTATAATGCGTTTTATCTTTGTTTAGAAATATTTATAAAAGCTTTATGATTTATTTTTTTTCCTCCCCCCCCAAGTAGCGTTACTTTAGTTTAAATGTTTAAAATCGATATTTATACAGCACACTCCACACCAATATTTAACAACATATCCATGGTTTAAATATACAGCAGTTATGAAAAGAAGTGATAATAACCTGCAAGAATAACACTGGAAACACATCACAGTCTACATCATATTACATAATAGAGAGAAGAAAAAAAAAAAAGGATATCAAGTGGTTAAAAAGGCAGACATGCATTAACTGCTTTTCTCTGAAGCAAATTGGAGGTAATTTATGTGCACTAATTCTCCCACTGGACACCACCTGCTTTTACATTTCAAGGGCCAAAGAATGATTCGGTGCAGTGAGTTATTCGGATGGAGGGGGGGGGGGCTGTGTGGCAGGTTTGCAGGGAAAAGGAGGGCAGCGTTGGAGGAGGAGGAGGAGGAGGAAGTGGTAATTTGAAGTACAGAAGACCTGTTTGAGGGGGGGTGAGGAAGTCCCACAGTGACACAGATTTGAAGAGGACAATGCATACAAATGAGATCATTACTGACATGGTGGGAGGCCTTTTGGGTAAAAAAACGCGCTCCACCCCGGCTGCCACAAACCCCCTCTTCTGAGACGGCGGATAACACACTTCCAGGTACATGGGAAATAAAGATAATAGACTGCTTTTTTTTTTTTTTTTACAGGGAGTGTTGTGTGTGTGTGTGCTTATTTTTGGCATGATCCGTCGTGTATGTGCCAGAGCTGCGATATTATGTTTGACAATCACAGAGCCATTCCCTGTGAAAGGTGCCACGAGGCTGTCGACACTGAGAATTGAGACGTACAACTCAAACACTTTGAGGCGATGACAAAAGAGTCTGAGTTCTGCATAGATGTCACTCAGTACCCAGGTGGGACGGTGCTGGAGGAATAAAAAAAAAAAAGAGGCATAGTTACGGAAACGTTTACAGCATAATACAAGTGAAAGGGCGAGGCCTCAGAACTAGTTTGGCTGCCAGACTTCTCTCAAGTGATTGAGCCGCTGAACGCTGCTAACTTCATGCACTCACTTTTATGGAGAGCCACTTGATTGAGGGTGTGACCGCACGGTTTCTGGCTATGATATCACGCTCGTCCTCGCGCCACCCCAAGTCTTATTTCATTTTCTTTCATGGTTCAGGCATTTCAGGCTTCACACCTGATTTCGAACTTCACATCTCTCGCCTGCTGACTAAATTCGCGCACGGTGTGAACGCGCCACAATTTCATAAAACCATATGCTTCCCTCGGCTTCCTACTCCCCTCACCCAGGTTCTATCTTTTTATCATTCCTTCCTACCTATTCAGAGAAGAAAACGAGCCAAGTGCTCAGTTTACAGCCAGCTGGGAAGGAGTGTGGATATGGCTGCGAGGGAGCTCAAGGAGCTAAAGGACTGTGTCTGCAGCGTGCCAGCAGGTTAATCAGCTACTAGCAGGACTCCCTCCCCGTTCCTTTGATCTCAAGCAGGTTTCAGGTGGCAGCCAAATACACTCTCGTCTGGACAAGGGCCACAGAGGGAAGGCATGATGGTTGTATGTGAAATCAGAGGACGGTCGGAAAGGTTAGGAGTCTGATGGAATGGGTTGAGCAACAGGACAGGAGGAGGGAGAGGATAAGCAGCATCTACAAACACTTTTGTAATCCCTCCAACTTCTTTACCGAACGTCCCAAAGCGGCTTCGTATTGTTGTTTAGCTGCAGTGAAACCGTGTCTGAAACCGAGAGAGGGCTACAAGCTGGCTGTGCATTGCTAATGGCGTGGTCTCAGGTATAGCTCTTACATTGTTCCGGGTGATTAATGAGGTGACAGTCCCCCCTGTAATGAATACACCACAAGCTAATTGTCCAACTAATGAGAAAAATCTCTCTAGTTTGTCAATTTGATATTCAATTTCTAGAGGTGACTTCAAAATGGATGACCTTGCCAATAAAAGCACTATTGTTTGTTATAAAATCAGTCTGCCTTCCAGGTTTTGAGTAGAGTGGACAGATATTTTCTTAAAGATTTTTAAAAAATCTCTTTAGTCTGCTGAGCGAAAGAGGAAAGAACAAGTTACTGCTCTTATGTGTTTGATGTTTCCAGAGAGCCCATTTTGGTTTAACTTACAATCTTTATCACAGCTCAGATAAACTGTTCAACACATGTGCACCCATCAGCACATAATAATAATGAGAATAAACAGAGTGAACATTGCTTTTCACAACTGTTCTCTATAACACTGAATCTCAAGAAAACCCTGAGTTCAGAAAGAACATTAAGAAAGGCAGGACTTTCCAAGAAGTTCTCATGGGGTCTTTAAAGGTCAAATCTGATAAAACCACAGAGTCTTGACAGAGCAGACTAGCTGAGGATTAAACTCTTAAAGGTGCCGGACGTGACATTCAGACCTGACTGGATGATACTAGAGCATCGGCATCTCAGACCAAAACAAACAGGTGCACTGACCACATCTTCCTCTTCCTGTAAAAACTGAGCCAACAAAAATAATCCAGCCACAATCATTAGCCCACACTAGCAACTGTACAACACACTAAATGGCCATAACAGGTAGTTGTTGTAATCTTAAATAACGTTATATTTACTGCACTGGTCTCTTCCTTTGCTCTGCTCCACTTGCTCCAGTCTGTGGGTGGCTGTTTCACCGTGAGTCTTAGTTTGCTCTTTGTTTTTGTAGGAATGTACAAAGGACTACTTGTTTCAGTGGGTGGGACTCACATGCACTAACATGTATGCACAGCTTCCAAAACATAGAAAAGAGAAGCTCAGATTACAACAAACTCAAAGGGATTGGAGAGTCTCTGCTAATTAAACCACCACTTTTTACTCAGCAAGTTTGCTGCTATATTAATGCCACATATACCACATGTTCAAAATCTACTAGAAACAAGCTTTAATAAATAACATCTGTGAATGTTTCTGTCAAACACTTGTTGCTTATTTAGTCATAAATATTGGCTGTGATTAGGTCAAACTGATGAAACCAAGTTTTCAGGCACTTCCATTTCTACATCACATTTAAAATATTAATTATCTATCCAATTGGCATTAAATCAATTTATCTGCTCACAGTAGGTTTCCAATAAACATCTACAAGTGCAAAATATTAACAGAGAGCTTCCCATTTACTCCGTGACATGCTGCATTTCTGAATATTTCAAGCACATTTTTGCTGTGTGCACAGCTGAATGCAAACCTGATTAATTCGGTAAAAAAAAAACACCCTTTTTTACATTTTTTTCTTCTTCTTCATCTGTGTTTATCAACAGTTTGCTTGCGTCTACTTTACCTCCGATGCATGCCTTCACCATATTTTCCTCCCAGCCAAAACAATGTCTAGAATTTTTTTTTCCCCTCCATTGGTGGCAGCTATTCAGTCAACACAAACACTGGCAAGGAGACAGTCATCTGCTGGTTGGTGGCTTCGTTCTATTCAGTTTGCTTGCCAGACTAATCTCGCCGGGGTTCCATCACAGGGCCAGTGCTGAGAGCGCATCAAAACTGTGAAAATGGCTACCGTGACAGGCTCCTGGCATTCTCTCCATTTGGGGATGATGAGTACATTTGATATAGTGTGGCCCTGTCCAAAAATCATCATTCCACAGCTCAACTCCACAGCTAGCTGTTGCCGCCGCTGGTTATGAATATCCTGCACCACCCACCTTCTTTCCAATCTACACCGCACTTTCATCTCTGTTTCTCCTCCTCTCGCTCCATACTCAAGTTTCTTTCTATTCGGTCTCTCTTTAGCCCGCCGTCCGTCCAGCGGTATTCTGCTACTTCATCTGCAGCTCTGCCAGTCTTTCTCTATGTCTCGGCAATCAGCTCTCTTTTGCTCTTCTTGCCTGAATCAGGCCTCTTCAGCTGCAGCCTCATTTCTGCTATCATTTATCTGCTTTTCACTCACTCTCCGCTCCCCTTTCCCCTTCATCATCCATCCATTCCTCCACCATCTATCTGCCTACACGTCAGCTGTTTCTCTCCTTTGTCAACTTATTGCGGTTTCTACTCCATTAAATGCTTCTGTGTTCCTTCGGCGGCGGCATTTCTTCCCTATTCACCCATGTCCCTCTGTTTCTGCCGCTTGCTTTCCCTCGATCCTCCTTTCCATTCTCTCTCCGACGTCAGACAAAGCCAGGCAGTAAATTCATCATTTATCAGGTCGCTCTGAAATTTATGGTGTTGAAAGGATGAATTAGACTGGCGGCTTGTACACTCAGCTTAGTCTGAGTTCTGAGAGCGACAAAGATTGTGTCGCAGATAGGGCTAATCATGTTTGGCCCCGGGGACGCGAAGGGATTTATCTCGCTCCTGAGGAATTGTTTTGTCTGTATTTCAAGACAAAGATTGGCAGATATTTCGAAGCGGTGCTACTCGCCGTGTCTGTTTCAGGTTGTGGGAGTCGTAACACTGTGTGCATCGGCGCATGGATGAAAGCCCTCGACTATTTGAGTGCATGTGCAGTCTGAAAATGAACACAAGGCCATTCTCACTATGACCAACCCTCTTGTACCCACCACAAATGATGGAGAGCGCGCACACACACAGAGACAGACTCTCCCCGAGGCAACGGCAGAGTAGTTAGGCCAATGGTCATTCATCTGAGACAACGCCTGAACCTCGGCCAGCTCAAGGCAAAGTGTGATGCACAATTTCCGCCTGGCTCGGTCTGGCAATTCTTTGATTCAAAGATTCAAACTCACGCAAAAAGATCATGTAATCCAAAATCAAAGGGAGCGAAGGGATTCGGGAGTGTTATATAAGGAAATTGGAACCCTCTCGCTAAACAAAGACAAGCCCCTGCAGTAATGTGGGTTGTCACACAAGTACACGGGACTGTGGGAAGAAGATGCGCAGCCG